CTGTGGCATAAAGCATTGGACCATAAGGTCGGTTTGAACCATAGGGACAATGTTTCAGACTCACCAGCCCCTCCTTGAAAGCCCTATACAGGGTCACTATGAGTTGGAACCAATTAAGAATGTTCCTTAATATGAAGAACCCTTCCATTCTAGTTGGAATTTTGAGTTAGTTACAGCACTATAGGCAAAAGTCCAGTTCGTAAAATTGTAGCTATTTGCACTTGTTTTCAGTATGAAACATCTTTATCTTCCTTGGTTCAAGTTCTGATCAATTAGCCATCCAAGCTAGGTCAAATAGGTACTAGCTGCAAGTTTGGGAGTTCATTCATACCTCCTTGTACTTCAGACCAGCTGGCTGTTTCACTCTCAGCCTTAGCCCCAGGAGTTCACACATCTTCCTAAACTTCAGACCAGCCAGTCCTTCCTCTTTTCTCTCTCAAGGTCAACTGTTGTCAGTGGACCCTGGCCAAACTCCGCCCATGTCATTGCTGCATTTCCCTGACTTCCACTCAAATAGACCCAGCTGGTCACCAGTGAACATACTAGACTGCTCATGGATTCCCTTTGAGTTTCAGATCTAGAAGGGGGTTTTCCCTGGTGACTTTTCTTTTCTTGATGCCTCTAAAGCAGACAGCTTGCTTGATATTCTTTCAAACAAACAGCCTGCTTTTTTTCTGCAGGTCTTCCCTTTAATAATAATCTGCTGTTCTCCCAGCTGTTCTGAGTTGGTTACATGTCTTTTCAAGTGGGAATGTCCCACCTCAGAAGGTTCTGGATGGGGCTCAGGATTCCACATAAGGCCCCATACTCTACAAAGGCCAATTTCCATGGGCAAATTCTAATTCAAGGCCAACTTATAAGATTTCTGTCATCATAATTCCCAATATTAATTTCTATTGCACTTACATAAAATGTCTTTTTTACAGTAGTGTGCTAGAGAAACCAGTATTCACAAGACACCCAAGCAGCATAAACGTTTTCCCCCCTCCTTTACCCATTCATTCTATGTCTCAATCCATGTATCTACTCAAAGAATGCTGTTTTTCCATATATAAATCACTATTTACTTCTATCCCATTTAGCCCATGCATACCTCCCTAAGTCTTCCCCTACCTTCATTGCTCATCTACCACCCTCCCTCTTCTTCTGTGTTGCCCTTCCCTTCCTTGTATATTGCCCTCCCCTCCCTGCTACCTTAACTTGCATGTGTCAACCCTCTAGCCAGTGAATTCTCCCCTCCCTCCCACCCCTGATGACCATCAAAGAATGTTTCTTTTAGTATGGAAACCTTCTTGTAAACTTTTACAATAATGGTCTCATATAATGATTGTCCTTTTGTGACTGACTGATTTCACTCAGCGTTATGCTCTCAAGGTTCATTCATACTATGAGGTGTTTTGCAGCTTCATCTTTAGTTTTCAGGGTCGCATAGTATTCCATTGTGTGTATCTACCGAAGTTTATTTATCCATTCTTCCACTGATGGGCATTTCGGCTGTTTCCGTCATTTTGCTATTGTGAATAGTGCGATGAACATTGGTGTGCATGTATTTACTTGAGACCGGGGTCTTATTTCTTTTGGATATATATCACGTAGAGGGATTGCTGGGACATAAGGTGTTTTTATTTCCAACTTTCTGAGGAAGCACCAGAGTGGTTTTCCAGAGTGGTTGAATTATTTTTGCAGTGCCACCAACAATGTAGGAGGGTCAGAGTCTCTCCATACTCTTGCCAGCATTTGTGGTCCTCTGATTTTTTTTTTTTTTTAAACTTAGCTGTTAATGCTGGTGTGAGATGAAATCTCATTG